AAAGGAAGGCCAGGTCTGGGAATTTTGCTAAAAGGTGAAGCTACTGATGAGCTCACAGCATACTGTGATTCAGATTGGGCAGCCTGCCCAAACACTAGGAGGTCAGTGACAGGTTATGTGGTGAAATTAGGTGATGCTCTATTGTCTTGGAAATCCAAAAAATAGTAAATTATTAGTAGAAGCTCTGTAGAAGCAGAATACAGAAGCACGGTAGCAGCTGTAGCAGAGCTCATATGGATGAAGGTCTATTGGAAGAATTGGGAAACAAAGTGAAGGAACCTATACATCCACATTGTGACAGTAAGGCAACATTACAAATTGCAGCAAATCCAATTTTTCACGAAAGAACAAAGCACATAGAAATCGACTGTCATTTTATAAAGGAAAAGATCAAGGAAGGAATGGTCACAACTAACTACATTCCCACAAAGCAACAGATGACAGACCTAATGACCAAAGGACTTGCAGCAGCCCAGTACAAGTTGCTCTTGGACAAGCTAGGAGTGCTCGATGTATTCCACCCTCCAGCTTGAGGGGGAGTGTTGTGATATAAGATAAGTAGTAGGGGTCAATTTGTAATTAGAGAAAAGTTGTAATTAGTCGGTTAAAAGGGCAGTTAACACTGTTCTATAAAAGAACAATGTACTCATATATGTTTGAGCTGCTGTAATGAGAAATCTTCTTCTTCCTTCTCTCTAGAACCTTCCTCCATTGTAGAGCATCTCATTGCATGTTTCAATTACTGAAGATTTACATAGAATCTATGTAAATTGACACCCTTATTGTATTTTTTTCACCTACGTTGTGACTATGTTTTTTCTGAGCCCAAAGTCTATCGGAAATAACCCTCTATCTTCGCAAGGTAGAAGTAAAGTTTTGTATTGTTGTTGCAATGAGCTTTGTATTTAATAGTACTAGCTAGTGCAATTACTCTCCTTTTTATCAGCAGCGACGAAGCTTCAAGATAATACTTAACACTATTATTTGAATTGTGATTTTTTTATTTTCTCACAATAATTAAGACGAGCTATGGGTTCCATAACAAATTCAGAACTCATAAACTTTAAATCCTGCCTCCGCCTCTAGCGTTTCATAATAAGTATATTACTAGCAATTTGAAAAATACATTAATATATAGTGTAATAAAATGTAAACCGTCTGCTTATTTGCTTAAGGTAAGAAGAGACAAGGCGCTAAAAGAGTGGAACCCAATTCATATAGTAGAGGGAAGGAGAATTCTTTAGAGAAATGTTTGTTTTTTTATTATTATTATTCCAGTAATACTTTAATGGAAAGTCTTTAAGATTCCATAATAAACTTTTGTTACTATAATAGAGATTGGTTGCTCAATACTGGAGCTTCTTTTGTCTTTTTTGGTTAGCTTCCTTCTATATAAGACTTACAATCCATCTCTCCTAAAACTCCCCTTCCCCTCAAAAATTCTTTTCAAGATTTCATTTCTCCTTTTCCAATTCCTTCTTCTAAGTAATTGTGATTGCATTTGTGAGAGAGAAAATGGAAGAAATGGCTTCTTTATGGTGTTATCAAGAGGTGCTTCCTTCTTCATTTTCATTACAGTTTCTCACTTCATGTCTATCTGTCGGTGGTACTGATATTGTCTCTTTTCGTCTTTTTTAGCCGAGGGTCTCTAATCCCTCGGGGTTTGCGTACACACTACCCTCCCCAGACCTCACCAATGAAATTTTACTGGGTCCTTGTTGTTGATGTTATTGTACTCATGTCATCTATGTACCATTTTATTCTGTTTATAACTTCACTTCAAAACTGAAAACTCATACTTTCCTCTTTCTGTGTGTGTGAAGAGTCTGAATGGGGCAGTCCATAAATAAGAAATATCTTGAAATGGATTTAGTGAATATCATTGTATTTTGCTAAAGCTCCAACTTATAAAAACAGTAAAGGGAAGCCCGGTGCACTAAACTTCCTATATGCACACGATCCGGGGAAGGGTTAGACCACGCCGGTCTATTATATGCCTTACCTTACATTTCTGCAAGAGCATGTTTTCACGGCTCGATTCTGTGACCTCCTGGTCACATAGCGATAACTTTACCGGTTACGCCAAGGCTTCCCTTATAAATCACATAACAACAACTTTTATCGGTTACAAGTCTTCCTTTATAGAAACAGTAAATTTAAGTATTGAGTTTTCTTTTGCACAGTCAATGATCTTGTGCCTTTAGACTTTCTGTAGTTTTTGTTTGGTAAAAGTGGTGCAATCCCTTTTTCTCTAATTCGAAACAGGTTTTGCTTTGATTATTAGACCTTTTCACTGTTCAAGAAGCTATAAGCAAATCTAGAAATTTAATCATTGCAGGGCCCAATGCATCATTTTTTTCTTTAATATAGGTATCCAAGGGTGATCACATACTTTCTACTTAATTCTATATTTTAGTTTTAGAACTTTTGGATTTGACTGAGATGATTTCATCACCTTCCACATAGGCCCTTGTCTAAGATGTCATTATCACTAATAACTTTAAATTACTTATTCATGAAATGATTATGACCAGATAATTACAGTGAATGATTTCTTGATTTCTTTCAAAATCTTTGAATTAGTGATCTTTCATCATTAGCATGCCTATTAACAAAGTTCAAATATTTAAGACTTTTCTCTAACTTGGGTTTTGACCAAATATTGCAGACCATGGAAGAAATGAGACAGAAGCTAGTGTACAGTAATCTTGAACTTGAAAAGTTGAAAGTGGAAACAAGTGAAGAAATGAGGAAGAACAATGAATATGTGAAGCAATTGATCCAACTACTAAAGATGGTTTGTCAAGAAAGAGATGAAGCAAGAAATCAACTTCAGAAACTACTCAACAAAATAACTTCATCTCAGTTCCAAGTTGAGAGTCCTGTTGTTAAGGCAACAAAAGCAAATTCAAGCATAACTGAATCAAACAGCCTTTCTGAAACATACAATTATCAGTCACATTATTCATCCCCGGTCGAGTCGTTTCTTGATGTAGTTTCATCCCCTGAATTTTCCAACAACAACATGGATAATTCAAATGCAGTACCTTATATGAATCAGCCTTTGGATCAGGCCACATTGATTATTGAAAATCTTGTAAAGGGGAAACCTTTACCACAGAAAGGGAAACTATTGAAGTCTGTTATTGAAGCAGGGCCACCTCTACAGACACTTCTTGTAGCTGGATCACTTCCTCAATGGCGCAATCCGCCTCAGCTTAAGCCGTCTAATATTCCACCAGTTTCCATTAAAGGGTGTGAAGCTGACATTGCAAATCAGAATCTTGCTTCAAGAATATTGCATTCTCAACCTTATTTTGAGATGTCATGTGGTTCTTCACAAATGGTGTCAACATGTATGTTGAACTTTGCTAATTTTGCCTCTGGTTCTTGTTTGGAAAATCAGAGGTTGATATCTTCTGGTGCAAACATGAACAAATTTGTTGTCCTGGGAAAGAGACAAAGGTTGCAGTAAAACAAGTTGAAAGATGGATGCCTATGCTTCCAATTTTTGTACAAAGCAGATTGCTGAGTGTTTGTAAATGGGATATACTGATTTTGAGTTTGACAGTATGAGTTCTTTTTGGTTGATGAATTTCATATTTCCTTTGGCTTTTTATTATTACAGTTCTCTTTTCATTATTCAATAAACAATTACTATGAATGTGAATTTTGATTATGATTCAATCTAGGGGTGGCAATTTAATCGCAAACCCATTCAACCCGCCCAAGGTTGGGCGCTCACTGACCCGCCCATTGTTGAACTCAGCCCATCTTGATCCAAGCCATCTCAACCATCTAAAGTTAGGCTGATTTTTAGCCTAAATTGATCCATGAGCAACTTTGCTAAAATATCTTTAAAATAATTTTTTTTGTTTGATATATTATATATGACCATAAAAAATAAAAAAAGTCTTATTTTGTAATTAAACAATTCATTAAGAATATAACACATATTAGTTAAATTTGGTAAGAGTTGGGCAGGTTGGGCTATGACCCAAATCTTGGCCTGTCTTGACCCAGCCCATCTCAACCCAAGTAACTTTTGACCCGCCCATTTATTGATTCAGTCCACTTTGAACCGCCCAAAATCAACTCAACCCTCCCATTTGACAACCGTAGTTCAATCTAATATATTGATATATCAATCAAAACTTAATGTTTGTGGCTCCTTAAATGTGTAACTGAACCTTTTCCCTTTAGTTTTTGTTGTCTAGGAGAACATTTTATGTGTTTCAGAAAAAGAATTGCTTGTCATTTGCACCAAGTAAAAGACCCTCCACCAGTTGAACTCTGTCTAATGTAGACTGAACTATCATTTTAAAACTATTATGACAGCAAAATTCTGGATATAGTATTTGTCCAGTGAGCTGCCTGCAAGATGAAAGCATCTTAGTTTAGTGGTTGCAAAGAAAATGACAAACAAAAAATGTTATAAGTGTCTAGAATCCTTGGTATCAAAAAGAGACTCGCGGTACAGAAAGGCTCAATAGAATTTGATCAATCCTATTTTCCGTCCTTGAGACAGAGAAATGAACCAAGAATTCTCTTTTTTGATCGTCTACAACAACAACCACCATAACAAGCCCAGTGGAGTCTCACAAGTGGGGTATGGGGAGGATAATATGCACGCAAACCTTACCCCTACCCTTAGGAGGTAGAGAGGTTGTTTCCACTAGACCCTCGACTCTTTCTTTATCGTCTGGATAGTAGAAATTTGTAAACTCTTCTTGCAAATAAATAAACTTGCCAGAAAGTTGAGTGTGAGTGTTAAATTCTTGGATTCATCATCAACCTTGTTTGTCTATATTGATCTATAACTTTGATATGACCGTCAGTCCATGTCCTCAAAAGTTTTTCTAAACTTAGAATGCTCTCCAATAACAAAGTTTCTAGACTAAGCTCTCTCTCAAATTTGCTCATAGCAACTTGTCTTAAAAGCCATATCAATTCAATTCAAACAATTCTTTCCTGTTTTCTGTCCAAAAATTCAGAATATCATGTCTAGTCCAAATTCCTCTCCAGGCGTTGGACCTTCGCGTTGGGATCCACTGCTGATTGCCTCAGTTGGTGTAATTTGTTTGATACTTCTTCTATTTAGTTATTTGAAGATAATACAGACACATTGTTGTGGGTATCTGTCTGCGCGTTTGTACAGAAATCCAACTCAAAGGCGTCATATAAACGAGCAAATTCTTGACGATACTGATTCACAGATCCAGAGCCGCAGACTAGACTCCTATATTATGCATTCACTGCCAATCACTCAGTTCAAGAAGGACGACCAACAAACAACCAGACCAAATAATGCAGATTGTGCAGTTTGTTTAGGTGAATTTGTAGATGGTGAATGGCTGAAACACTTACCTTATTGCTCTCATGTTTTCCATGTCGCCTGTATTGACACTTGGTTTCAGATTCATTCAAGCTGCCCGCTATGCAGATCAAATGTATTTAGTGTCAAAATGCAACAAGGACATTCCATTTCTATGTACACATTACTGGAAACTCTGAGAAGGGAAGATTTCAATCGCGAAAGATCAGTGCACAATGAGGATATCCGGTTACAGATACTACAGAATCATTCTTCTAGAGATGTAGAAGGAAGTGCTGACTAGTGGTATTAACATTGTCTCACAACTAATTGGTATGTCTCTCAATCATTACAATGTCTATAGTAAGAGCTCCATAGCATGCTCTCTTCCTGTAGAGAGCTTTACGAACAAGAATTTGAGATATATAACATACTTTTTGGATCAGCAAAAATGGCTCACATGCACGAGACGAGGTTGATAAGAGGGAATGATAATCAGAATGTTTAGCCTAGTCACAAATTGTGGTAACAAAAGAATGATTTTGACCCTTAAACATCTTATTCAACCAAATAAGATTGAAGAGTTTATGTGATGTATGACATTTTTTTTCTTCCTTGTAAAGATGATATCTCCTTGAGATTTCTCTGATTCAATGATTTGGACAAGAGACTAACTATCCCTTTTGCTGAACAGTTTGAATTATCATTCCTAGGTAATGAGGAATTCTTGTAAGAACATAGATAATAAAGTTAGCAGATTGTATCATGACAAAGTAAAAGTTCATTCTTCACATTGCTTTCTCGTCGTCCATCAGTCCATGAAATTTATCGTCAGTGATAATATGTTTGCTTCATCCAATGGAACACAAATAACAAAAAGGGAACACTCAGTATAATAAAATACTGGTAATAGACGTTAGACAAGATAACTGACTTAATAAAACTATACCAATCAAATCAGAAACACAAATTACACCAAGCAAATTTTAACTGTGGTCAAAATTTTTTCTGTAGCTTGTAGCTCCATTGAGATGTACGTACTTGTTTCAGCTTATAGATTGGAACGCATATTTTCACTTCCTTGTACTGTCTTTTTCAGTTGGTTGAACATAGTGGGACTTGGAACTTGCAAAATCCCTCAAATAACAGATCTTTACACATTAAAAGATGAAATGAGATACAGAAAATTAAAGTTCAGAAGAAATTTTTTAGCTTTTGGATTTTGGATGTACATAGTTGTCTGGTTGGGGAACTAAATTAAAGAAAGCACAGCAGAACAGTCTATCTTTCAGAAGGTATTTTTGTATCATTGCTTGCGTTTTCTTTTCTGTAATTGGAATATACCTCAAATAATTAGTTGTCCAAAAAAAATGTGAATCAAGTATGAAACAGATGAGAGAATCTCCCTTCTTGAAAGTAATCTGCTATTACTCAACTTTCTTTTCTTTCCTGGGGCGGATCTTGTTTCTTTAAACTTTGGTTGATGGACGCCTTAATTGGTCCCTGCACATCAGATCCATATATATGACTCATTTTTGTTCGTTTTGTTTCCAAATACTTCCTGTTTTCCTCTGTGAAGGGTGTCAAAACTGGTACTCGTCCAACGACAGCTAAACCATAGCCCTTTAGACCGGTAAATTTTGCTGGATTGTTAGTCATTAAGCGCATGGTACGAACTCCTATATCCCTCAACATCTGTTGCAATCAAATAAAGTTAAGTCATATTCTTCCATTTGTTAATAGATATACTCAATTATCAGTAGAAACTAGAAAATTAGTATACTTGATTGTCTGTCGAGGTTGGGAAATTGGGATAGATATGAGAAAATTATGTGACTAACCTGTGCACCAATGCCATATTCACGAGCATCTGCAGCAAAGCCGAGTTCTAAATTGGCTTCAACAGTATCATGACCTTGATCTTGCAAGTTATAGGCCTGAAGCTTGTTACCGAGGCCAATGCCTCTTCCTTCGTGGCCTCTGAGATAGATAACCACACCTCTACCAGCTTCCTCAATCAACTGCATTGCCAAATCCAGCTGATTACCACAATCACATCGTCTAGATCCAAATATGTCCCCCGTCAAACACTCCGAGTGTACCCTTACCAACACATCTTGACCATTCCCGATATCACCCTGTTGAAAACTTTTAAAGTTTAGAATTCCGGACGAATTATGCAATTTGTTTGAAGGATAAAATCACTAATTATATATGCTTTTGACCTTTACAACAGCTATATGTTCTGTTCCATCAAGCTTTGAACGGTAGCAGTAAGCCTCGAATAATCCCCATTTAGTTGGTAAACGTGACACTGCAGTTCTTTCGACAAGATTTTCCCTCTTTCTCCTATATCTGCAAGCAGTAAAACATGACATACAAAATTAGTAAGTTGGCTATTGTTGCTTTCTCATGCATAATTTAATGAGTACAAAATGAAGGCTGCACTTGGCAAATATGGAACCTGAAAATGCGGTCAAAGTTCTCAACACTAGTATGCAGAAATAACAGAATTGGGAAAAGAAAGAGGCTGCTGAAATGGAATGGACATATGTCAATGATTCACCTTACTAAATCAGTTATTGAGATAATAGGAATCTTGTGCGCCAAGGCCAAATTTTCCAAAATGGGCATGGTGGCTATTGAACCATCACTTTTATCAACTATAGTTGAAAGAGCAGAAACTGGTTGCAAGCCGGCTGACATTACTAAATCAACAGAAGCCTCAGTATGACCAAATCTTCTTAAGACCCCACCATTTCGATACTTGAGGGGGAAAACGTGCCCTGGCCTTCTGAAATCTTCAGGACTAGAAGTAGGAGATGACAATGCAAGCACAGTTTTAGCCCTATCTGAAGCCGATACACCAGTAGATGTTCCCACCTTTGCATCCTATGCATAATAAAACAAGGTACTTCAATGAGCAGAAATGTTATTTTAACATCACATTGTATTCGAATATCATGGAATTTATCAGCCATCTACTATCAGTAATTCGACAGTGGGAGTTTCAACTCCAGCCTGAGAATATAGCTTATAAAATTGTTACGGAATGACGTAAATTACATAAATGATACAAATCTACTTCCTACTATATAAATGCAAGAGCTAAATTTGGCAAAACTTCAGTCTTTCTGTTAATATGTTGGCCACATTGACTGATATCGGTTGGCAATAAATTCATCGAAATTTTAGTAATTTTCAACCTTTAAGTACATTACAAACACTTTTAGCAATGGGGGAAGAGTCAAATTACCACTGTGATTGTGAAGGATGGAGCAGAAGAATCATCTTCTTTTTCAGGTGACATTAAAGGAAGCTTGAGTCTTTCAAGATCCTCTTCTTTCATTCCCACAGAAATAATGCCTGATCCATGTCTTACCATGAATGCAATTCCCTCTGCACTAGCAAAGGATGCTCCCATTACAAGGTTTCCTTCCACTTCCCCACTTTCATCATCTACAACAATCACAAACTGACACATTTTCACAATCATAAGTTTTACCAAATGAACATAAAAGTACAAGTTAAATTCATTAAAAAAAACTATTTTTTGTACTTTAGTGAATTTTACAACCATAATAGCAAAATCACAAAATTATTATTATTTTCATCATATTAAAGTGAATTTTAACCACTAAGATTTTGTATTCGTACGAATATTTACCATTACTTTTTTCATCCGTTCTCCATACGAGGATTTATCGGCAAGGCCGTGTACATCTTACCCTCCCCAGAAATCAATGGGTTTGTTGTTGTTATTAAGTACTCCCTCCGTTCACTTTTACTTGTCCACTATGGACTTTGCACGCCCTTTAAGAAATAATAAATGAAATGCATAATTTATCATGATACCCATATTAATTGATGCATATTTTTAATGGATTTGAGAAAATGATTTGAAATGAGTAATAAATACTGTACGTATAACCGGAAAAGGGAAATTGCCTTCTCTTAATATGCTAAAAGTAATAAGTAAAAGAGAAAATCTATTTTTAGAATACCGAACAAGTAAAAGTGAACGGAGGGAATATATATAAATATGTAATTGCGAACCCAACAACTATGATTAGCGATTAGTTCGATGTCAGGTTCAGAATACATAAAACTTTAAAGTATAGCTCTGCCTATGTGTATAGTGGATAAATTTCAGTAACCATGCACACACGAAAAATGTAAAATTAACTCCAAAACTAATAGTCCATTCAACTAATTTTTCAAGAAATTCACGAAATTAAAGTCCAAAAATTGAAAGAAAAGAAAAAAACACCAACCTTTCCTTCACGTAATGCAGTAAGTGCCTCTTCAATTGAAGAATAACCGCTAGTGGGACAATCAGGATCACCCTCAGCTTCACTCACAAAGAAATCAATAGTTTCTGGTGTTATTTCAGCACTCAATGTTTCAAATGGAACTGAAGAATTCTGATCATTCAAACCATCAAATACAGAACCGTTTTGATTGCTTTCAAATGGGTTAATTTCAGCAGAACAGCATGTAGTAAATACTGTTCTTTTTCTGTATTGCCCAAATCCAACAATATTTTGACAAGTCCCAAAAAATTTTGAGCTGATGAAGATTCTTGGAAATGATGGATTTTTAAACACGATACAATCCATTAATGGAACAGATATTAGCTAGCAGAAAATATTGGAAGTTAACTGAATTGTAGTTTTACTGGTTTTTTTGGCTGACAATTTTGTAGTTGGATTCGGAGTTTGCAAAAGGCGCCATTTTAAGAGGGAAAAAAGAGCACCTCTAGTTTTCTCTCGTCTTATCCAATGACGTGAAACTAATAAAAGAGTCTGATTTTGAACGTAAGAGGACTTTGAACCACATGCATACAGCCAAATTGGATGTGCAATATCCTTATTCCCTGTCTTTTGACAAAACATTAAAAAAAAAATAGCAGTAGAGATGGTTCGAGAGCGACTTGAAAACTGCTGAGCCGGTTGATGAAATATAGTCCAACCACTTGGGACGAGATCCACAATGCTTACTGTGCCGAAGTTCCAGTAGATGAGGACGACCTCAACAGACCAACTCATCGTCTCATCTCGGTACAAGCCGAGTCCAAGAAAGAACGAAGAGATAACATCTGGAGGGATCACCCGGTCCCATGATCCAACAGGGAACGACACCAGCCGTACGTCAAGAGCCCCACCCCACCTTCTCTCCGCTATGAGAAGGCCCATCCAGGCCAAGAACAGGGACGCACCGGAACGAGAGAGGTATGCCCCCTTATTATCTGCTCACAATTTTTGTGTCACCTACAAAGATAGTCTACGCCCTGGAGAAACTAGA